GGGGACATTGTGGAGGGTTGGGGACATTGGGGACACTGAGGAGTTTGGGGACATTGGGGACATTGAGGGTTTGGAGACATTGGGGGGTTTGGGGACATTGGGGACACTGAGGGGTTTGGGGACATTGGGGACATTGAGGGATTGGGGACATTGGAGATATTGGGGATATCGGGGGGTTTGGGGATATTGGGGACACTGAGGGTTTGGGGATGTTTGGGGACATTGGGGACATCAAGAGACATTGAGGGGGTTGGGGGCACTGGGGGGCTTGGGGACATTGGGGACATTGAGGTTTTGGTGACACTGGGGACTGGGGACATTGAGGAGTTGGGGACGTGAGGGGACATTTAAGGGGTTGGGGACATTGAGGACATTGAGGGGTTTGGGACACTGGTGGGCGTTGGGGACATTGGGGCTGTTGGGGACATTGGGGACATGAAGGGGTTGGGGACATTGGGGGTTTGGGGATGTTGGGGAAGGGGAACAGGAACAGGATCAGGAGTGGCACCAGCGTGTCCCTGTCCCCAAAGTGCCACCCCCGGTGTCCCCCGGTGTCCCCACAGAGTCCCTGCGCTCCTGGGGCTGCTGGGACCGGGAACGGGAGCAGGAACAAGAATAAAAATGGGAGCAGGACTGGGAATGGGAACGGGAATGGGAACAGGAGTGGGAATGGGAACGGGAATAGGAACGGGAACGGGAACGGGAATAGGAACGGGAACGGGAACGGGAATGGGAACGGGAACGGGAACGGGAATAGGAACGGGACCAAGGTGTCCCTGTCCCCAAGTGCCACCCCCGGTGTCCCCCGGTGTCCCCTAGAGTCGATGCGCTCGTTCCTGCGGCAGCGCTCGTGGGGCCGCTGGGACCGGGAGCGGGACCGGGAATGGGAACGGGAATGGGACCGGGAATAGGAACGGGACCAAGGTGTCCCTGTCCCCAAGTGCCACCCCCGGTGTCCCCTAGAGTCGATGCGCTCGTTCCTGCGGCAGCGCTCGTGGGGCCGCTGGGACCGGGAGCGGGAGGCGCAGCGGCAGCGGGAGCGGGAGCAGCGGCGGGCGCAGGAGGCGGCGGCGGCGGCGGCGCTCCCGCTCGGCGCCCGCTGCGAGGTGCGAGTGCCCGGCCAGCCCTGCCGGAGGGGCACCATCGCCTTCGTGGGTGCGTGTGCCCGCCGTGCCGCCTCGGTGCCACCTCGGTGTCACCTCCTGTCCCTTCTTTATCCCCTCCATGTCCCCTCTGTGTTGCCTTTGTCGCCTCTTTGTCCCCTCTCTGTGTCCCCCTCCTGTCCCATCAATGTCCCATCAATTTGTCCTCTCCAGGACCCCCCAAAATCCCCCCCAAACCCCTTCAGGACCCCAAAAACACCCCAAAACTCCCCAAACCCACTCTAGAACCTGCCAAAATACCCCAAAAACACCCAAAAATCTCCCCAAACCCCTCCAGGAGCCCCCAAAATCCCCCCCAAACCCCTTCAGGACCCCTTGAAACACCCCAAAACCCCCCAAAACCACTCTAGAACCCACCAAAATACCCCGAAAACACCCAAAAATCCCCCCAAACCCCTCCAGGACCCCCCAAAACACATCCAGGACCCCTCAAAACACCCCAAAACTCCCCAAAACCACTCTAGAACCTGCCAAAATACCCCAAAAACACCCAAAAATCTCCCCAAACCCCTCCAGGAGCCCCCAAAATCCCCCCAAAACACATCCAGGACCCCTCAAAAGACCCCTAAACCCCCCAAAACCACCCTAGGACCCGCCAAAATACCCCGAAAACACCCAAAAATCCCCCCAAACCCCTCCAGGACCCC